ATCTATCTATTAGACATGCCTGAGCAGAGCCAAGTACAACCTAAGATAATTGCATTTGTTTCAGTCCACAAGTCATATTATGTTATGTCATAGTCGTTTGGGTCATTTTTCCTTTTCTTCATTGTGAGTCTTGTGAGTTCTCAAAGCATTGTAAGAGCACTTATGCTTCAAGTAATAAAAGACCAACTATTCCTTTTAATATTGTTCACTCTGATGTGTGGGGGCCTTACCATTTACCGTGTATGGGTGGGTATAAATATTTCATCCTATTTATTGATGATTTTTCACTATATACTTGGATTTACCTTATGCGCTCTCGGGCTGGAGTGCCGAACTTGTGCAATAGTTCCATGAACACATACTCAATTTAATACCCGCATCAAAATATTCTGGTCAAACAATGCTAAGGAATATTTTGAGAAGCACCTTACCTCCAATCTTGAGAAGTTTGGGGTTATTCATCAGAGTTCTTCTGCCCGCAGTCCACAACAAAATGGAGTAGCAGAGAGGATAAACAAACACATTGTGGAATTTGCAAGGAGCATTCTTTTTGCTACCCATATTTTTGTAAAGTTTTGCGGTGATGCAGTTATAACAGCTACCTACCTTATTAACCACATGCCTTCTCAAGTCTTGGGGTTAATCTCCTTTCGGAGTCCTCTTTCCTGATGTTGAGATTTTCTCTATTTCTCTAAGGGTCTTTGGTTGCACTTATTATGTCCACATTCCCAGTTCCAAAAGACACAAGTTTGACCCAAAGGGTCAAAAGTGTATCTTCATTGGTTATGCCTCCACACAGAAAGGGTACTATTGTTTTGATCCCATTAGTGGCACCTAGTTTGTTTCCATGGGTGTCACCTTTGTAGAGTCGGTTTGTTTTTATAGCCATCCTTATGAGGGGGAGAGATCCCTTGAGTCCCCATCCTACTATGCCTTTCTAAACACCTTTCCTACATCTTGTTGTCCCCATCCTACTATGCCTTTCTAGCCTTCATTTCCTCTCAATCCATCCCAAAGTCTATTTCAGAAGCCTTAGCCACACTAGATTGGAGGGATGCTATGAGTATTGAAATAGGTGCAATACTTGGGATATTGTTGACTTGCCAGCTGGGAGTCTATTTCAGAAGCCTTAGCCACACTAGATTGGAGTCTATTTCCTCTCAATCATCCATAAAAACAATACTTGGGATATTGTTGACTTGCCAGCTGGGAAAGAACCTGCTAGGTGCAAGTGGGTTTTCACTATCAAGTGTCATGTAGATGGGTCAATTGAGAAGTATAAGGCTCGACTTGTTGCCAAGGGATATACCCAGGTATATGGGATAGATTACACTAAGACCTTTTCTCCAGTTGCTAAGATGACTTCGGTGAGAGTTCTTTTATCCTTAGCAGTGAGCTATGATTGGCCTCTGTATCAATTTGATGTTAAGAATGTATTCCTGAATGGTGATCTCACTGAAGGGGTATATATGTCCCTTCCTCTTGGTATATATGGCAAGGAAATGTAGGATAAGGTGTGTAGATTGAAGAAATCACTTTATGGCCTGAAACAATCTCCATGTGCTTGGTTTGATAGGTTTAGACCTGTTCTTGTTCAGTTTGGCTACACTTAGACCAATCAGATCATACCCTCTTTGTTAAGAGAAAAGGCACTATGGTGACATTTCTTATAGTTTATGTAGATGATATTGTGGTTACTGGTAGTGATATAGAAGAAGTTAGTGCTCTCAAGAAGTTTCTCAGTTCTGAATTTGAAATTAAAGATTTAGGGGAGTTGCGGTATTTTCTGGGCATTGAGGTTGCTAGGTCCAAGGAAGGTATCTTTATTTGTCATCGGAAGTATGTGCTAGACCTTATTGAGACTAGAAAACTTGGAGCTAAACCTACCTCTACCCCTATTGATGTGTATCATAAACTCTTAGTTAATGATGGAGAACTTTTAGCTGATAGGGGAGTGTTTCAGAAATTACTGTGAGTGTCATCAGCTAGTTCATGCATGCTCCCAGAGACAAATATTTTTCTGCTGCAGAAAGGGTGTTATACTACCTTAAGGGAACCCCCGGGAAGGGTTTATTATTTTCTAAACATGGACACATGAAGGTAGAAGCATATATAGATGCTGATTGGGCAGGAAATGTGGATGGTAGGAGATCCACATTTGGATATTGTTCTATGGTAGCTGGAAATATTGTTTTTTGGAGAAGCAAAAAACAATAAGTGGTTGCTAGATCTTCAACTAAGGTAGAGTATAGAGCTATGGTCCATGGTGTTTCTGAGTTGTTATGGCTTGAATCTCTCCTTAGTGAGATGTGTGTTTCATGTGACGAGCCACTAATGTTGTATTGTGATAACCAAGCTATTATTAGCATTGCTCACAACTCAGTTCAACATGATAGAACTAAGCACATTGAGGTAGACCAACACTTTATATGGGAGAGAAAGGCTTCAGGAGAGGTGTGCAACCTTTCATTGCATCTGAAGAGCAGCTAGCAGATTTTTTAACTAAGGGAGTCTCAAAGGCAAAGCTTCAACGTTATGTAATCTAGCTGGGCATGATTGACATCTATGCTCAGCTTGAGGGAGAGTGTAGTGAGAATGGGCGTTAGTGTTCTTTATTTCTTTTAAGTAGTATTTAAAAGTTATGTTTCTTAGTTATGGGCGTTATGGGCCTTCTTTTATTTTCTTTAATTATTTCTTTAGTGCTGGCCGCCCTATAAAGGGCATCCAAGTAATTGTACTCAGACTTAGAATTATTAATAAGAGTGATGAAAGGGGGCTAGAGAGAGAGGTTCGAATTCTTCTTTTCTCTCTTCCCTTCTTTTCTTCTTTCACAACCTATTGCTAAAAATTCTTTCTTTTTCGTTCTCTTTTTCTCTTTTCTTCTTTACTTGCATTATCTGAATTACTGTAGGTGTAATTTTCAACTCCAAGGCCGCTAGGAATTGGAGATGTTTTTAGGGATGGGGGAAGTTCATTGCCCTCTTTTTAGTTCCAATTGGAGAAGCTGACTCTCTAAGGGCCAAAGTAATGACAGTTTTGGAAGGGGTTAAGAGGGCAAAGGAGATGGACATTCGCAAACTAATCATAGAAGGTGGCTCCAAGCTAGTGGTGGGATGGTTGAATGATGAGAGGAGCAGTTTCTGGAATTACAACAATGAAAGGAAAAAGGTTCAAGTGGTTAACACAAGATATTGAAGTTAAAGCAGTTTGGGTCAAAAGAAATTCCAATACCATAGCTGATGGGCTAGCAAAGCAAGGGGTGAATAGGGATGTAATGTTTTGGGCTCAATTGTAATTGCTAACTTTCTTGTTTTTTGGTTTGTTTGTACCTTTCTGGGAGAGCTAAGAGAGTTTATCTCTCCCTGTTCCTTCTTGGCTTTGTTTCTTAATAAAGCTATTGTTATTGATAAAAAAAAGGGTGGATGCAAGCAAGAAACTTACGAATGTGGTCCCTCAGACAACCGCTAAGAGAAATTTTGAGTTTAGCAAGGGAGCTTGGGGTGCAATTTAGATGGGCAAGAAGGTCAGAAAATGGAATGGCTGACACTTGAGCTAAGCAAGGAGTCAATGGGGATGCTTTGTTTTGGGCTTATTTGTTAGGCTGATATTGTTTTTGGTTCCTCCAACCATCCTTTGGGTGGTGACAATTGTACTCTTTACTTAACTTCATCAATGAAAGTTATTGTTTCCTATTAAAAAAAAAAAAGAAAACCTTTGACTGTCAAGCATGAGAATGTGCGTTCTAGTTTGGGAGTGGTTACTTTGTGCAAAAAATGCCAAAGTTTGGGACCTTATCCAATCCACCCCTTTCAAGATCCTAGATAGCTGGGACCAATATTGAGTAATGACCTTTTTTAATTCATCATCATATCATCATTCAAGCCTTATCCCAACTATATGGGGTTCGCAGTCGCTACATGAAACCTGTTTTGACTACATGACCATTTTTCATTTTTTAATTACCTTTCTAAAAATATGTAGTTATCAAGCGCATCATGGCTAACTCTTAATAACTACAAGAGGAGTATTGGAGATCAAGAACATCATTGCTTCAACTTGGAGACAATTATTAATAACTACAAGAAAAGAATTATGCTTAAAGTAGTGTTAGAATAGGTAGGTCTAATTGTCAACCATGCCAATGGGTCTTCACAAAATAGTCGTCAAGGTGTTGCCTAGGCATCACTTGGATGCTTTTGACTTATAGCATCAAGGCATCTGTCTAGGTGCCTAGGCAAGAAAAATCACAAGGCACCTTACTATAATCTCATTACTATGGCTACATCTTTACTAATATGTGTGTTAATGCATTCTATTATAAACTTTATATTATATCATTCTTTACTTTGTTTTAATGTTTTACTATTGAAATTTAAATGATCCAAGGTTTTTGAGAAGAGACAAAGAGAAAAAAAAAAGAGAAGAATAAGGACTTTTCTTATTCTTTTGTTTTTCTATTCTCTCTCTCTCTCACACACACACACATTAAATAGAACAGTATCTCTGCCCTTGTTCTTTTTCTCTTTTACTTACTCTTTATCTTAAGTTTTAATCATTTTAAAATTATATCCTTCTTTGGCTGCTAATTTGATATAAAATTGCTCTATTAAATACTTGATGATATTAGTATTATTTTTGAAAACATTGAAATTAATATATTTAAAATACTGTTGTCTTTTAGATATGATGATTTTCCATGTTTGTGAGAAAGAATTTCTATTTTTTTGTCAATTACCTAGATGCCGTGACAACTATGCTTCACAAGACAACCTCAAGTTGTCATTGCCAGTTCTGCAATTCCTATGGTTGCTACTTACAAGAATTCAGAAATGTATGACTGATATGGCATCTGATTTGTATTTTTAACAGACACCAATGAACACAAATTTGTCTGGATGGGTCCAAAGTTAACCTTTCATGCCAATTGTGTGACACCTGTGATTGCTGGAGTGTTTAGAAATGTATTATTTACATAACAATTTATTCATTCTTTTCAACAGGCATCAGTCGGGATAAATTTGCTTTGGATACTAACTATTGGAAAGAACAAGTTCGCCAGTATTGGAAGCTGATGAACATTGACAAGTCAGAGATTCGAAACATCATGGACATGAATGCTAATTGTGGTGGATTTGCTGTAGCCTTGAGTACCCTCCCTGTTTGGGTGATGAACATAGTTCCTGTTAGTATGAATAATACCCTGTCTGCTATTTACAACCGGGGTTTGATAGGTTCTTTTCATGACTGGTAAGTTTTCATCATCTGTTGTGTATTGCCATGATGTAATAACTTATTGAAGAAATTACTATAATACTATTTGGTAGCCCTAATATTTGTTCTGACATCAGGTGTGAACCCTTCTCAACATACCCACGAACATATGATTTATTGCATGCCTACCATCTCTTTTCTCACTACAAAGTCCAAGGAGAAGGTTGCTTATTAGAAGACATCATGCTAGAGATGGATCGTATTATTCGTCCTCAAGTAAGAAGAATTCTTGAGTTAAATGTTTTTCTTTTTTCTTTTTCCTTTGACTTGTTGATGCTTAGGCCATTTCCTTCAGTGTGGATCAGATATATTGGGCACCTCAAATATGTAGTATTATCCCTCCTCATAGGCAGAAGACTGGTAGAATAGGAATAGGAGACTAAAAAGATAATAATAGATTACTGCCAAATCCTGCTTTCAGTAGATGAAAGTCATATTCTCATCTTGAGGAATCCAATTTAATTAGATCCCTGGTAGGAGATCAGTTAGTAGGAAGTTTAAGGATGCAGAGGTTCCAATGGCTATAAGGGACATGGAGTAAGGGGAGACAGATCTAGATCTTGATAGTTTTTGGCTTCTTTTAAAGAAGAAAATGAAAAATGTTGAAGAATGAAGAAGATGACGTCAAGTGGGAAAGAAAAAACATCAAATTGATCTATAGTTTGAAGATAACTTGTTTTTATATCATTGGCTTGCTAATGATTTTGTGCTCCTAAGTCATATTGGGATGATATAATTGGAGTCAAAATAATCAAGACCAGCATAGCTTGAAGATCAAGTAGTGTTTATATTGGTCATTTCAGCTAATCTCAGGGGGCAAGGGTCTGAGGTAGCTAAGGAGTGACATTTTATTGGATGAAACCACTCAGTTAAATAGTAACATAGATTTGATTATAGTGGTTAATAAAAAAGTTGAAGTTGCAAAAGGGTTGATTCTGTTCTTTTTTCTTTGTTGGGTAGGGAAGAATTTTCAAGAGAACCAGGATTACCAAGTCTACTACAATCAAAGTTGAGTTTTAAATGTTGACCCCTAGGTAGTTCCCAACTCCTTTGGCATACCAGTCTTTTAGTAGATTACCTGGACACCACCCCAACCTCTTAATATATCATTGACTGAAAATGAGCAAAGATGTTCTTCAGCCAATGCACTACTTTAATTTTGATGCTTTCAAGGAGGACTCTTCCCATCAAACAATGGACTCTATTAAATACTTATTATATTAGTATTATATTTTAGAATATTGTATTACTCAGGAACGGGACTCTTGAGTGTGGTAATGGCAGCATTTTATTTATTTTTTTTGATAAATTCCTTCTACACAGGTTTAGTAGGAAGAAATAGAGTTTCTTTCCCTGTTAAGGCTGTCTGGCGCAACTTGGCTCCAACAAGGGTCAAATTTTCGTGTGGGTGGTATTATTGGACAAATGTTTGACAAAGGACAATCTTGTAAGGTGTGGCATGGCTTTGGATAACTCTCTTTGCCCTTTATGTGAGCAGCAGCTGGTATCCTCAGGCCACCAAGGCAATACCGCTTATGTGATGCTGCCTCAAGTTAGTTGAATTCATGGAATGACAGGTACAGGGCATGAGTAAAAATAGGCAGATTGCTGTGATCAATTTTTGGCTTTTGCTATCTTGTGGGCTATTTGGTTAGAGAGAATGCTTGGATTTTTGAGGCAAAGATAAAGCCCAGTGGAAACTGTGATCAATTTTTCTTTTGATGTTCTAAGAGCTTACTCTCCATTCAAATAGTGTTTTTTTTTTTAGCAGAGAATTAAGCCTTTCTTTTTTTTGTAATGTGGCGTATTGTACAAATTCTCTTTGTACATGGGCAGCTTGTACACATTTTTTATATTAATACAAATTACTTTAGCTTTTGAAAGATATATATATATATATATATTGAAATTAATAAATTTGAAATTCTTTTATCTTTTAGATGTGATGATTTGCCATGCATTGAGATAATTTTTCTTATTTCAATTAGTATGCATGCTGAATGGTATATATAACTAGGGAACTAGCCAATGTCTAGTTCTTTGTTTTATAAAATTCTTATTGTCTATGTCACTTAGGTGACCCACTGTCACCAAGAATCGCCCAGATTTTTTTTTTTTTTTTGAGAAGTATCAATTCATTAAAAGGAAAAGTACAACCAGAGGCTGTACAATTGAGGTACAAAGATAGCACTCAAACTACAAAACCAATGGGAGATACAAACAGGCTTTTAAAGTCAAAAAGAGAACTGTAAAAAGAACTGTCAACTTTTAGCTGAATCGAAGACCAGGAAAACAGCTTCCCCACAGTCTTCTGCCACACTTTCTCTTCTTGACAGCTTTTGTTTTGAAATATCCTTGAATTTCTTTCTTGCCATATTGACCATAACACAGCACCTGGAATCAGATACCATAGAACTTTCCCTTTCTTGCTTAGACCTTGTACCCTCTAATTGTTGACAAAATCAGCCATTGGTTCTGGGCAACAACCTCAGATAGAAAAAATTCTGAGAATCCTCACTCATATTTTGTGAGTGAAGCTGCAATGCAGTAACAGGTGGTCAACAGTCTCATCATCACTGTTGCACAAGACACATCTTTTAGAATCAATCACCACACCCCTCCTAACCAGGTTGTCTCTAGTAGGAATCTTATTCAGGAAAGCAGCCCAAATAAAAAAAGAGGCCTTTGATGGAATGTGTTTGCACCATATTATATGCGCACGAAATTCCAGATCTTCCTCTTGGACCAGTTTACCATAGAAAGATTTCACCAAGAGCTGGCCTATGCTATCTGCAACGCAAAACCTTTTTTCTACTGCATTAGTGTCGATTTGAGTGTTGTACAACCTTTGAAGAAGCCTACTAAATGGTTCGATCTCCCAATCATTCAAAGCCCTTCTGAAAAGAGGACTCCAGACAAGCATCCCATTTTGAGACTGGACATATTCAGCTACTTTTGCCTCCTTGTTTGTTGCATTTGCAAATAATTCTGGGAAATCATCCATTAGCGTATTGTTTCCACTCCAACGATCCAACGAGAAATTAACTGTAGTACCTCTTCCCATTACAAATTTGATTTCCTTGCTGAAAGTATTATAGCTTTTTTTCAATTCCCTTCCAAACTGAACAATCATACGACTGATTTGCATCACTAGGGACCCAAACTTCACGAATTGTACCATATTTTGCTTCAATTACTCTCCTTCACAAGCAGTTCCCTTGGTTACCAAACCTCCAAAACCACTTGCCAAGTAAGGCTAAATTCATTTCCCGAATTCTTCTAATTCCCAGCCCTCCGTTCTTTTTTTGTTTACACACCTTATCCCAGTTATGGTGGGGGGGGAGCTTTAGAAGACATCTTAACCTTATTCTCTGGGTCGGCAGGTTACAGAAATTCCATAAGGGCAGAACTTTTGGCAGCCTTGCAAGGGCTGAAGTTGGCAAATGAACTAGATTTCAACATTTGATAATTGAAGGAGATCCCAAAGTGGTGGTAGGATGCCTGCAAAATGGGGATAGGGATCCATGGTTATTAAGGAGCTAAAAGAGTTAAAGCACAATAGGCAATCCATTTCAGTTGCGTTCATAGATCTGTAAATGGGTTAGCAGATTCTTTGGCAAAGCAGGGGGCGAACAGGGTGAATTTATTATGGGGCACTAGGTGAATTATCTGATACAATTATGATCTTTTGGTCATACCAATCTCTAGAAATCCCCCCCCNAAAAAAAAAAGAAGATAGAAAAAAAAAAAACTCAGTTTCTGGAACTTCTCAGGCTTTCTGAGTAACTGACAAAGCAGACTTTTCATGCAAAACATGCTTGGAGCCCTATCAAATTTGGCCACTCCTTACAGCCACACACTCCTATGCCTTTGCAGAAAATTTCACAAAGAAATTTAAAACATTAGTTTTCATCAAATCCTTACTTTTCGTAACCTTGGGTTAAACCTACAGTTCATTGTGGTTGAACCCAAGAACCTGAACAGACCCCAATCCTTCTATTAGCCCAGTGCCATCCCTAAACTTAAAATGAATCCATTGCCAAGCCCCTATGAACAGTAGTTTCTCAGTTTACTAGCCTCTTATTGTGCCTGTTATACATCAATTTGATATTAAAGAACCTTTTTGCTAGAATTCCTTATCCATCCTATTTTTTTTTATGGCTAACTGTAAAAATCTATTGATATAGGAGAAAAGAAAGAATATGTATAATGTATTCAACGGCCTTGTAAGATGCACTCACCACTCTACCCTCATGCACTATATTCCCCCTCCCCACCCCCCACCCCTTTTTTTTTATAAATTAACCACAGGTTACAATTGAGTCCAATGCAGTTCTTCCCTATTAATCATTTGTTTGGCTAGACCATCAACCAGCCCATTAGCCGATCTATGGAGCCAATGAAATCCAATCACCCTTTCATTGGCTAGCTGTTTAATCTCCCTTATTACATATCTATATTTCCATATCCCTTAGCCATCCTAGATCGTGGCTGTTAATGCATTCTCCTCATTTTTTCATTTTTTTTCAAAAGTGTCCTCTAATGTTTGGCACTACAATGTAAGGGAGAAAAGATTCCATATTTGACAATAGATAATGTGGAAAAGAGAGAAAGCTCTGTATTTATTTATACAAACAGACAGACATTATCAGACAGCAAAAAGAGGACAGTGCTTGTGGGATGGATGGAGTATTAGGATATCTTGTTTTTCCCTCTAGCTGAAAAGGTAGAGTATAATTGTATTTCTTCAAAAGGTGTGGTGGAATGTATGACTAAAATGAGATCTCTCGAAATTCCTAAAATAGGAAAAAGGGAAGAAAGAAAAGCTGTGGTGGAGTGGTGGGTGTTGGTTTCAGTTGTGCAGTGTGATGCTGAATGTGGGTATAGGTGTTTTCTTTGGGTTAAGGGAGGTGGTCTGTAGGTTGCTTGTCAAATTTGGGGTTTGGTGGGTCTTTTGCAGGTCGGCGTTCTCCTTAGCTTTTCTATATGTTCTTTTGCGCACTTTTTGTCTTGTTTCCTTTCCCTCTTCTCTGTTTACATCCTGTGTACACTCTACCTTTTTAATATATTGCTTTAAGATTCCAACCAAGAAAAAGAACTCCTCAAAAGGACAGAAGGAAAGATTATCTATGGTTTATTTCAATAGTAAAGTAAAAGTGAAAACTTTATTAATCATAGAAATTGTACTTGAATTGGGTTCAGTGATGACACCCCAACCCTGGAAAAGACATAAGTCAGCATAACCATCATTGTTCATTTCCAGGACAGTCCTAAAGTTGTCCAAAATGGGCCCCAAAGGTGCCTCTTTGTACATCAGCAAACTCTGGATGCAAAAGAATTCAATCCAGAACCATATTACCATGGGGCATAATCTCTAATGGTTCTTCTGAACATTCTTGAAAAGTCTATTGTTTCTTTCCTTCCATATGCACCAAATTACCACAAATGGGATGCTGCTTCAAAAGATTTTAGCTTTCTTGCTCTCTTGAGTTTTTGGCCAAGTTGCAAAAATCTCCTTTGAAGTTAAATGCTGCTACCCACTTCTTCTAAATAGGGAGAAGAAAATCCCAAATGGATATTTTTAGCTGCACAAAATGAAGGATGTCTTGAGTCTTCTCTGTTGCTCTAGCACAAACAGCAGATGCTAGGTAATTGGAAACCCCTTCTCTTCAAATTATCTATAGGGAGCAAACCATTTCATAGCTACCAGCTAAGCAAAACTGTCCACCCTAGGTGGAATTGAGTTTACTCCATATGCCTTTTAACTCAGTTTTGTAGTTTACTCCATATGCCTTTTAACTCAGTTTTGTTCACCTGATTGTAGATTAGTGCATTATAAATGACTTTTTTTTTTATAAATATGCATTATCAAAAAATGACTTCACTGTAAATTATGTTATTGCATCCTTTCCACCAACTCATATCTGGTTCACCTGGAAAGGTTACTTCCTTTTCTAGCATTTTAAGCAAACAAAATTGACTTCTCTCTCCAGCAATGTTCTTCTTAAATTTGAACACCAAATAACTCTATCACTCCTGATTTCAAAGTATTGAATCATTGTGATTTTCTTCTCACTATCTGTAAAGTCTGTGGTAAAGATCAGAGTATGCCAACTATGCTCCAACCCTCCTCCCAAAAGCAGATTCTAGACACATCTCCGGATTTAAACTTAGTCAAATTTTGAAACACTTGCTGAAAGCACATGATCCCCTTCCACACCAACACACCATGAAGAGACTGTTTTTATAGCCTTGCTAGGGACTGCTTCCTTTGATGTTGTTGGTCAATTCCCAACCATACAGGCATTTGTATCACCTCCAACCAGCAATAAGATTGCAAAAGAGAAAATATTCAGAAAGATTTTTTTTTTCTCTTTTGCTTACATACAGATTTGGGAAATACCATTTGAAACCAAATTCTATGAGTGGCCACTTTTTGAAAAAAAATGCTATAGGTTGGAAAAATGTTCCTTTTTTATCATTTGACCCCCCAGATTCCTCCAGAAAGTTTATTCAAATAATTGTGCTAAATTCATTATGTAAGTAGTTTGCAGTCTCATTTACTTTAGGACACAAGCAAGATAGGTTGGAGAGATTCATTTTAGTTTTGAAAGGCTGGTCCTTTGTTGGATATTTGCTTATTATGTTGCCCATATTATGATGGCAATCCTAGAGGACCTTGGCAGACTCCGAGTCTGCTCAAAAAGATATTCAGCAATAGGATTGATTATTTTCAGCCTGGTCCAGACTGGAAATTCCGGGCTTGGGCCTAGTTTTCTTGTCCAGGCCTGCATCAGGCCCAGCCTGCACACACACTGCAGGCCTCAGAGGTATCAGTGCCTCTGGCATACGCCTCAGGGCATTTTGGGGGCGCCTCGCCTGGAGGCACACCTCCAGGTATATGCCTCCCACCTATTAAAACACTGTTTTTGAATAAATTCTAGGAGGTTAGAAAATGCTTACTTTTTTTCTTTCTTTTGTTCCTTCTTTCTTTTTGCTATTAAAAATCAAGTGCTTCATTGAAGCTATGTTGATTTGGAAACCAAAATTATGATGCCCAAATATGGCAAAAAATGGCTTGACAAGGTGTCAGAACTGAAATTTACACTATCAATTGAGTATCTGATACAAAATAGCATCCATGCACCCAAAATATTGGTTTTAGTTAGTTAAGAGTCAAATTTAGGTTTTATGTATGGGAGTTGAATTGATGATGTGGACTGTGTGATTTTGGTTATGTTTTTGAATATGTTAGGGATATTGTTTCTGCCATTTTTGCTGTCTTAGGTCTTTAGTTCCAAAAAGAGGAAATAAAAATGATAAGAGAAAGGAACAAAGAACAAAAACCCAAGGTCAGCTTCAAAAAGTAGATATTGTTTCCACCTATAGAAATCTGTTTCTGTCAAGGGCTTTATATTCTGTTACACTTTAACATTATATAATTTGATATTTGTATTTGTATCTTACTAGAAGATTTGCTGGGACTTGTGTAAATGTTGTCTGAAGTGATGTTTACTTTCATGATTTTTGGGCATTTGATATCATCTCCAATAATTTTCAAGCTCACAATCTGAAGTTTGAATGATTTCTTATCAATCCTAAATGTGCAGGGATTTATTATTATCAGAGACGAGGAATCCATTGTCTCAAGAATCAAAGACATTGCCCCAAAATTTCTTTGGAATGTCCAATTACACGAGTTAGAAGATGAGCAACAAAAAAAGCAACCTCTTCTAATTTGCAGAAAGATGTTCTGGGCAATTGTTTGAGGTATAACCAGCATTTTATGCCAAGGAGGTATTGTTGTGTGCACTCACAACTAGGTTTCTAGTATTATGTCCCTGCTGAAATTTTGATATGTTATTTCCTAGATCCGGCCCCCATTCTTTTGACTTTCACCTGTTGTCTGATCCTTCTTTTATCTGTAGATGTTCTAAAATTATAAGTTTCCTATTTTATTAGCAACTGTGGGAATGTATCTTCAAGTATGAGTGTAGCCATTTAGTGAAAAATGCCAAGTATTATGTTATGTGCCTTAGGGGAACTCACCCCTAAAAGCTAGCTGTTAGAGGGAGGGAACCCAAGCACATATATACCACACAACAGTATCCCATACTACCGATGTGGGATATCTCACATTAGCATCCCATACTACCAACGTGGGACAAAGGGATCGTAACAGATTAAGTCTGTATCTAGTCTATCCCTGCCAAGATCCCAGACTGCTAGAACCATCATTTAGTAATGGCCCTTTAATCAAGAATTTTGTAAAGAAAGATCTGAAGCCAAAAAGGTATTTTGCATCATATTACCCTCCACATTCAAAAGCATTGGAACCAAGGTTCAAAGTATCAATACGATACGCGTTTCAGCAGTATCAATCGGTACTTAGAAACACCCAAAACTCTTTTTTTTAGTTTTTTTTCAAATTTTGGTTTTTTGGGAAGCTAAAAACATGTTTTTTTTAATTAAAAAAAGTTGGGGTTCCGAAACCCTGGAAACAGGTGTTTCGGATCGTATCGTTTTCAAAAGATATGTTGAGTGGGCCGGTTTGTTTTGTTGAGTGGCCCGGTTTGTCTTTAGTTTGTTTTTATTTAATTAGGAAGTTGTTGAGCCTTCGGCCCATTAGTTTTTTATTTTTTAAATTTGTGACTATTCAGTTTTAGTAGCCGCCCTACTAAGGGCATCCTTGTAATATCTCATCTTTAAGTTAAATATAAATATAATGAGGGGCTGGCGGCTAGGGTTAACTTTCTCATAACTCTAGTTGACCTCCTACTCTTTTCTCTCACAAGAAGCTTGACTGAATCAGCAAATAGTGATTTCTACTTGGTATTAGAGCAAGTT